GCTACCAATGCCAATCACTCAGGAAAGGATCAAATCTGGAGATCCTGGATAGAGTGGGAGAAAAAACATGGAACAAAATTCAAAAACACAAATAGCGACCAGAATTACTGGTTGGATAGAATCTGGTGAGACCCCCCAAATACTATGGTCCTGGGATACATTCTGGGCCTGGAATAAAGCTCACTCCCAAGGGCTGGCTCTCAACCCAATAGTAAACAAGATGTACATGCAGTCCACTCAACCCAGAGTGATGCACCCACATACTCTATGGTAATGCATCCCTTGGAACAATTGACCACGGGGCACCAGAGGGGCAACATTCACACGGAGGAAATGCAGGATAAACAGGAATGTATAACTATGAGGGGCATGAGGGGGGTGCTGTTACTGGGTAGGGAGGGGAGGAGTCTGGGTTAGGGTTGGGCACGGTAAATGGGGAGTGAAACTAAATGTACAAGTAATGCTGAATGTAAAACAAACTCTTAAAAAAAAATTTTTTTTTTTAAAGGCAAACTGAGACAAGATAGGGCGCTACAGCCAATACTCATCACGGAGGACTTAATTTCAACTAACCAAGTCAAAATCGCTACAGCCTTACTTACAATACACGTTAGTCCTGCGCCCCTGAAAAAACGCTAACTTCCTGTGTTTGATGTTTTTAACCTTTTTACTCTTCTTTTTCAGACGAATGTGTTAATCATTTGCACCACCTACGGACTACTCTTTTTTTTTAGTTCAATATATATTTGAAAATGGGATTTCACTGTCTGAATGAACCTTCTGGACCAACCTTCTCTTTTTAATATGAGAAAGCCGAGGCCTGGGAAAGTTAAAGAACCAGTCACGGTTCCCACGATCAGTGGCGGCAGAGCCAGTCCCAGGACTCCGTGTCCTGACTCCCATTCGAACACACTGCTCGTGTCCCCAGGTCAGTGTGAGGACCGAGAGTCCCGAGGACACACTCAAAAAAACTCTTTTTCACTAGCATACTGGTATCTAACTTCCGGGGAAGGCTGGGTATGGAGAATCTCTGAGGAAGGGCGAGCAGAACTAGGCTTCCCTGACTCCCAGCCCCATCTATCTGACGTCTCTGTCCCACAGCGCGCCCGCGCTCTCTGCCACAGTCCGGCTGGACGCATCACCCAGCAATCTTCACCCTTGCGCCCTCGTCGGGCCTCCACGTCCAGCACTCACGCTCAGCCAGCATGGACATCTCTGAGGGTTGGTTACGCCGCGAGCCTCCGGATCCTGACCACTGTAACAACTCCACTCTGGCTAGATGAGAAGGGAGAATGACTGGAGTCAAAAGCCAGGCGGATGGTAACTGCGAGGTGGCGCATAGTGGTGACGTAAGCGAAGTGCGACTCGTTCTCAGACCACGCGGCGACGGTGGGCGGGGATTGGGATTGGGATAAAGGTGATTGGGAAGGAGAGGAGCTATGGGTTAGTAGAATGGCCACGGAGACCTGTGTGGGGTGTTTCTGGTAAAACGGAGGTGAAGAGAGGAGTATCCATTCATTCATTAGAGCAAATACATAAATAATTTGGCATAAGTAAAGCTCTTATAAGAGTGTCTGCTGGAGATGATATTCCTACATACAAATTTGTATGTGCCATAAAAATGCCCATATGCAGTTTAAACCCAACAGGAAGCAAAGTTAGGATAACTTCTTAGCCACAAATAAGCAACTTGGAGTGAGTCACTGGGCTTGTGGGCTGGAGACAATGGTTGCAGGGGATATCAAGCTCAACCCGCATAACATGGTTTACAAAAATATTGTTCTACATCTTACTTAAGAGAGACCATATAAGATGCAGCTATTGCTTGCATTGGAGCAGAGAAGAGTGAAGAAAATTAAAGACACATGGTAACAGTCCAAAGGACTAATGGACCACATGAACCTTAGCCTATATGATCCTGAAACCAGAAGAATTATGTGGTACAGGGCTACCGTGTCAGACATTTGGAAAGGGATCCAAATTGAAGATGCTGTATAAAGTGAGAGAAAAATGTGAACAAAACTTCAAAATCATAAAAAAGACTAGGCTTGTTGATCTGATAGAGGCTGGTGAAACTTCCAAGGCTATGGCCCTGAGCCACCCTTTGGGCCTGGAATTGAACTTACTACCATGGCTTAACTCTCATCCAAACAATACACAGGCCTATGAACTGAACACCAGCACCACAGAAATGCACTCCGTAGAACAATCAACCTCAGTAGATCAAAAGGGCAGTATTTGCACAGGGAGAAAGGTACTCACTCTAACTCACTGTGGTGGAGTCAGATCTGACTCATAGTGACCCCTCCTTGGGTTTCCGAGGTGATATTACTATAGATATAGATTGC